CTGGAGTTTGTTACCTGTTCGCATGACTCGTTTTGCTACCTCCGATAATAATCTATCATTGATTAAAAAACTGTACAATCAGTCTTTACTCATAAATAAAAAAAAGTATGATGACCTGCAAACTTTGAAGAAACTGATTCCAGCGGATTACCATAGTTTCTATGACAATTTGCAACACGAATAAGTATTTATTTGGACATATTTTTACCATTATTTGTATGTTTAATTTTTATAATAAATAAATAGATACCCAAATTCAAGAATTCTATTTATTTATCTTTTGAATCAAGTAATTATATAAGTTCAACAACCTCGTATATATGTGTGTTAGGGTTAACTAATCTGTAATTCAAAAACCTCGTTTCTTTAAAATCCGTTACTCTTTATTCTAGGATTGTTTGAATAGGATAAGTTTTATTGTAACAAAGGCTTAATAATATCATTATTCTAATGCCTTAAACCATATTCAGCTTTTCATAAAAATAAGAAAGTTATTACATTTTTTGACTCTCCTGTAAACATGTCATTTTATAGTTACAAGGTTGAGAAAGTAAAGCAACGATTTGCTTAATCGGTACTTTAACGTGATTGTTATTATTATAGGTATTTGATCAATTTTAAAAAGGGAAAAGTAACAAGTGCTTTAAAAATTCGTCAGTCTTGTTAGGTCCTGGGCAGCTCAGCGGTTAGAGTAGTCGCTTGGATTGCAAAATGTCATGGGTTCGATTCCCACCTCAGAGTGCCAGGGACATAGTGGATTTTTCTAGCACTTTTTCATTAAAAATGTTTGTTATTGTTAAAATAAGTTAGTGTAACTAACCCAGTGTTGTAAAGCTTTTTAGCTTAAATTTATTAAAAATGAAAATAGAGCGTTCTATATTGTACCTATAACTGACAAAAACAAGTTTAGTACTGTGCCAAGAATTTTCATTATTTTATATTCAGCTTTCAATCGGCTTAAGTGTGCTTTTGGCTGGGTTTCAAATTATATTGATTTATTCATAGTTATCAAATTAAAAAAAAAACATCGTCTTCCATTTGCGATGGGTGAGACTACGTTAAACTAGAGAGTTCAAGTTTCATAAATGAATAATAAGAATAATATTTATTTGACCATAAATTATCGATATTACATACAAAGCTTATCAAAATTATTTATATAGTAATTATTTATAATACACCTTGCTTTTAGCTAGCATCCATCACCGAACTAGGTTGTGGACCTGAAACATCGGCAAATGGCGCCTCTAACCTCGGACATTAATCGATGTATTACATTACATATTTGTTTTGTTTTATTTAGATGTAGCATTTTAGCAACAATAAACTTCAGTGTATCAAACCAATCTTTTTAAGCAATATTGAAAATAAATCATACTAAAATATAGAAAAGAAAAGAAGTCCTCTCTGTGTGTAATGTGGGAAATGCATGTGTGAGTGTCGAGAGGGTGTATTGTTAAGTAATATTATAATTGGAATAAGAGAATTTATTTTACCGCTTTTTAACAAGAGAGTAAACATCTATTCTTTTGCACCCACAAACGCATTAAAAAAATACATTACACAACAAGACATTAGCAAAAATAACAATGCTAAAAATAACAATATGTTTCAGTTTTTGTGAATTGAGGCAGTTTCTGAATTGAGAAAATTATAAAATATCCACTGATTATTCTCAATAACCTTAGTTTTTCATGGCAAAACGTCCTCATCATCATCATCATCATCATCACCAGCCCTTTTACGTCCCCACTGCAGGGGCTCAGACCTTCCTTATGGATGGTTAAGGAGGATGGGCCATGACCCTCTACGCTGGCCCAATGCGGATTGGAGGGTATTAACGACTCACAAATGCAGCCGGTACCAACGGCTTAACGTGCCTTCCGACGCACGGAGTAGCTCGAGATAATATTTTTTTGGTCACCCATCCCGTGACCGACCCTAGCGAAAGCTGCTTAACGACTAAGATCGCGGGCCGCGGCACTTATCCACTACGCCACCGAGCTGGTCTTTTAGAAGCTTTTTAAAAATATCTAAAAATTCAAAACTAGTTTAAAAAACTGCTACTAACTAATCATTAAAAAATTAAAATCAGAAATAAAATCCTGTTTAAGTAACGTTTGAAATGGTTTAAGTGTGGTTTAAGACGTGATTAACTTTAAATTCTCAAATCAGAAACAGGGTGATAGTCGCAACAACGCTCATATTTTGACAGGGCTTATTACCTTTTGATTGGACTATAGTTTGAAGTTGAAACCGGTCAACTGCATTGCAAATAGGTGAAACATTTGTGATTGACATTTTCATTCTAAAAGACTGAATGATGGATTCCCGAAATGGTCATAACTTTGGGTTACGATCGGTTATGGGGTCGACATAATTAAAAACTGATTTTGGTGCTTGATTATATTTAAAAGTCGGCCATTATTAATTAAAACAATTTCTTATTTAATACTGTCAAGATACGGAACCTTTAAGTCAAAGTCTATTTTATTATATTTTGATGACAAAATGATATGTAAATTTGTTCATAATTCGTCTTTTTATAACCCGATCGTAAAAATGTGTCGTACATACAACGAATTGAATCGTAATGATGGAACTGTCAATATTTTCAATAACAAATTCTCAAAATATAAATAAAATATCAGACAAATTTCAATAATTATAATATTAACACCATTTAATATTTAAATTTACTGTATACTAAAAGTATACTCATGTTGTAAGTTAATACTGTTCATGCTGTGTACACTGTTTATAGATTATAGGTTAGTCCAAATACTTTAAATCTGTTTATGTACCATTTATAAATAAATAAATATCAATTGAAATAAAACAACTAAGGATATTATTCTTAATGAAAAATGCTTAAAAATCTACTTTGTTTTTGGCACTCTGAGATGGGACTCGAACCCGAAATCCGCACGACTGCTTTAACCACCGAGCTACCTTGGACCTAACAGGACTGACGGATTTTCAAGCACTTGTTACTTTTTCGCTTCATTTCATCAATGTTCAGGCAATTCACCCAAACAGCCGAAAGAGATATTGCATGTAAATGCAAATTCAATCAATCATAATAAAAAAAAAAAGATTTTTAAAGTTAATATTCAAAGTACATTACTTTAAAAATTTACTTTAAATATCTTTTTTTTTGTACGCTGTTTTTTTAACAGAATAGTTAAAGAAAAACGGGTATCTTACCAAAAACAGTTAGGAGATCCCTAGGCTATATAGTAAATAGTCGAAGTCATCAATGCATTTATCTTCCACAGTGCTTTTATTAAACAAGAGTCAGAGTGGGTTCTTAATGAACAATGCTAAAAAAAAAACAATGCTTTCTTTTTATTTAAGAACATTTATCAGTATAGCATTGTGATTGCGAAATTGATCAAGTATTATAATTATTATTTAGTTTTAGCATCATATCTGTTAAAGCAATTAGTTTTGCCATAATGAAACTTTTTGAAAACCGTTCACGGAAAGTTAATATATTTGTCTATGCGTTACTTAGAACGCTTCCATGTTCCAAATGGCCAAAAAGGGGGCAATGACCAAAACCGGGTCTTCTGCCCTACTCAGATTCATAATTAAGATGAGGTTGTTTCAAATCACTACTTCTTAGAAAAATTTCATTTTTAGGCTATGCCAATATTTGATAATGTAATTTGAGTATTAGTCCAAATTAATATTATACAGAGAATAAGCAAACCTACTACATTCTATGAAAAAATATTACTCCCGTAGAACCTCGTACTTGGTTAACCCAACGTACTTGGTTGGTTGGTTAACCAAGTCTCTGTCTAATAGTATGAATTTTGACTAATACTAAGTGCTGTCTCAGCGTTAATTTACTACAACACTAAACTTGTTTATCAATAACCCTGTAAAAGTATAAATGGTACATCTACTGGTGTTGTGTTACGTATCTTACTAAATATATTATCATTTACTTTAAGTGAGGCCGGCTGTAACAAATTCCATGTTGTTACATCGGCAAGTGTATGTGAACGACTATAAGCAGTCACTTGATATATCGATGGACATTCTAGCGTCTTTTCTTACATTCTCTTGAGTGAATGTAAACAAGATGGAATATATGTGAGCTTTTAAGGATCGCTTAGACTCGTTCGTGTATGGATAAATTGTTTTCACGTGTTTTGATAAGTTTGAACTGTTATTATTTAAAACATGCGGTATTTATTTATTTTTATAACATAATACGAATACGTTGTTACCTTTCAAAATATTGAATGTCTCAAAATAGGAGTACAGACTTATTAATAAGCCGATAAAAGCTGTTAAGTTTAAATAAAAAAATATGCAAGAAAAAGTAATAAAATATTTTACAATAATTTACTGAGTTTACATCCCCATTGGAACGATAGAAATTATCCAATATGACGTCACTAGAAAGTCAAAGGAACTCGATTTCATGATCAATATATTTCTATGTTAGCATAGAGTTACTCGGTGCCGTAGTGGATAAGCGCCGCGACCCGCGATCGTTGTTTGTTAAGCAACTTTCGTAGAGGTTGGTGACGGGATGGATGAACAAAAATTTACTATCTCAAACTTCTCTGTGCTTCGGAATGCAGGTTGTTGATCCCGGCTGCATTTGCAGTCGTCAATATCCTCCAATCCGCATTAGGCTAGCTTGGACGATCGTGGCATACCCTCCTTAACCATCTTAAGGAAGGCCTGAGCACCTGCAGTGGAGACGTAAAAAGGTGATGATGATATGTCTACGTGTTGTTGCGGGATAGGCAGAGAGAATCAAACGTCACAAAATATGATTCTTACATACACCTGTCGCATCATTCACTTTCATTATTCTTTTAATACATTGGTATGGTTATAGATTCTGACATAAAACTAACTCATTTAAACCTCATTTTGCTATTATATGGTTAGCGTCACAAATTTCCTATTATTGTCCTCTATTTTTATCAATTCCCTTTGTTTGAAGTGGCGTAATATATTTTTAATTGTTTCAGAAGAAAAGCAGAAGAGCACAGAGCAAAACCAGCCGTCAGAGGAGCAGGCGGCGACGAAGATCCAGGCGGCGTTCCGCGGGCACAAGACCAGGAAGACAATGAGCATGAAGGCGACCAGCAAACAGCAACATGAGCCGGAGCCGTCGAAGGCCGAGCTGGAAGCTGAGTTCAGGGCTGACGACAAAGGTAAGATTAGTGATTAGGACACTATTTGTCTTCATTGAGTTCACTTACCCGAGCTGTCGGTCGTGACGACAGATTAGATAGATAGATAGATACAGTTCTTATTTGCATCACTTAACAAACACCGATGCAGCCTAATAAAAAAAAACAAATATTCAGATATAATGGCAAATGTTCAGTGGTATATCTGCTCAAAAAGGGCGAAACACTGATTGTCAACTTCAGTCAGAGGCATAAGACCCTTAACGAAAACAGACGTTCAAAACCAATAGTATTCCCATCCGAATCCACATTCAAATTGCTGGTGACAAGAATATCCATAAACAAGTATGAGTCTCTATTATTATTCAAAAAGATTATTAGACCAGACACAATAATTCAGTTGCAATGATTTAACGTGTGCAATAAAGACAAGATACTATTATCTATCCCATTGTCAGGCGCTTGATTTGATTGGGTGAATATTTAGTCTTCACGCCCAGCTTTAACAGATATCCTAAGAAATTGCACGATACACTTCTCAATTCAAGGCATCAACGCAACATGTCCCCTTACTTTCGAACGTAATTGCGAACGATCGACGTTGCAATTATGCCGTTCCGCAGTCTTGATTGGTTCACTGGCATACAGTAGCACTAGTGTACCCAATCAAGAGTACGAAGCGGCACAATTGCAACGTCGATCGGTCGCGATTGCGATCGAAATTAAGAGAGGCTGGTCTTATTTTAACAAAATTTGTATTCATGATTCCTTTTTTTTTGTTATCAGGCAATGATTGCTATTAAAAAAGTTTTGAAATGAGCACATAATACTTTTGTTTATACATTATAAATCCAGAAATGTTAGTGTATTTTTTCAATAATTGTTTCATATATAATAGGAATGACAACTGCTAAAATAAATATATTTAGTCAGTCAGTCAGGTAATAGAAAAATATTAGACACGTATTATTATTTATTTTAATAAGAAATAGCTTAGATAACAGACATTAAAGTTGAGGAGTGGGGGCACGCTACGTCAGAGTCTTGTAGAAAATGTACAAAAGCATATAATGCCGTCATTTAATGATTACGAAAAAATTAAAAAAATACATGTTTAATATTTTTAACAATCTCTATTAGGATCATCCCTATTAGGATATTCAACAGTAATGTATGAATAAGAGCTTTAGTTAAAACACTCTATAGTTTGCTTTAATCTCCTCGGACAACAAAGTCGCGTCGTTTGCTCATACGACAATACCCAATTATCACTGCATCAACTCTTTGACTACACGTATCTACGTTACTAACTATCCATTTCTCGGATTAAATAGTTTCGCATGCAAGCACATACATAAAAAACACACATCGCCATCGAACATATAACTTCCTCCTTTTCCATTGTGAAGTCGTTTAAAAATAGAGGCTTTTTTTAATAATCTTCTCCGTGTAATAAGTGGTAACAGAGTTTTATTTATTTATTCATTTGACCAACCAACATCTGTTTACAATGTCTGGTAACATTATTTTGTTTTTATCACGGTTAGCTCCGCATTCGTAACGAGCTTAAAATATCTATCTATTTATTCGTTCCAGATTTATATGTTCAAAAATATTTATACATACGTAATCCTCATTTTCTTAGATTTTAAATGATAGTAACGTTGGAAATAATATCCGACTGAATTAATAATTTAATGACAATTTATTTTAATCATGTTTTTTTTAAATATTATTATTGAAATTCTACACATACTTATATTTGAAATAATTTATTTTATATTTATTAATAATCATGACATTATAACAGTTTATATCATATTCTTAAATGACAATGAATGTATATTAATGACTTACCTAGTGAAACATTCTCTGTTACAAGGCCAATAAAGAATTTGATTTGATTTGATTTGATTTAATAAGCAGATAAACAAATTTTTATACATGAAATATATGATTATCCCAGCCAACACAGATTAGCTGAATAAATTTTGCTTAAAAGCAATTCTTTTGACTTTAAGCTGGATAAAGTATTTGTATAACTTCTGTGTAAGCGCTTATACAGATGATATTCAAGCAATTTGGGCACAAAATATCTTGCTTCAATTTGGATAACATTTGATTAATAGCTACATAGCAGCTGAATAAATGTACAACACACTGAATATCTTCTGCATAAATTCTGTTTTTTCTTTAGTCCAGAAATTATACATCTCTTATGCAGTTGTTAATTTGTGAGTTCAGATATTCAAATGATATTCACAATTCCGATCTCAGGGGAAGTTTTACAAAGAAATTATGCAAGTAAAAAAAGTATAAATGTATTTTTCATTGTGACGAGATTATTTTGTGTTACTTACTTCAAAATATTGTAATGGTCGCCAATTCACGTTTTCAAAAATTTGGTAAGCAAATTGTTTCATACATTTTAAGTGAGTTTAAGGTGAATTATATAAACGCATGGCACTTTACTGTGAATTATCAATATGATTATTATACATTTTTTGAGCGCCTTCAGATAAAGCTACAAATTAAAAGGTAAACAAATGTGAAATAATATTTAAATTAAATTATCTTTACTTTTTATCAAATTTCAGTCCCAGAAAATATTGAGAATCAAATTTTGTTTAACTGCTAATGTTTCCTGCTCACTAAACAAAGTGTTTCATAAGATAAATGTTGAAGATTTTTATAAGAAGAGGTTATGTCGAACGTTAGTTAATGGCGGACGGCCTATCTGAATAAAAGTGTCTATTTCAGTGATTATTTTGCTTATTTCTGCATAATAGTTCACATTCGACTACATATCCAGAAATTATTTGGTTTAAAGTACAATAATTATACATTTCTCAGAGAAAGGTCTTAAATTACATAATGCAGTATACTCTAATTCAGCTTTTTAGGGTTCTTTTTTATCGAAAATAAATCCATGAATATTTGAGGTTGATGGGACCTATACTAATGTAGGTACTTTTTATACACTCGGACTTGTTGCGCTCATGTAGTCAATAAGTAAGATACAAACGTAAACATCGAGATTTATTATATAATGTTAGTATTTATAATAGTGTTGTGTAGTTTTTGAAGTGTTATAGAAAAATGTATATTTTTTTCAGAAACATGTTCAAAATCGTTTCGACTTGTAAAAAAGGCCGAGTTGAATTATCAACAGTGCCCGCTTCTAGGGAAAACAAAGGAGTATTATACTGGCCAAAAAAAGGCGAGCTTCTTTGCAAGAACCCGAGGAAAGCTGAAGAAGAATTATCTCAAATGTTGAACAGAACTGATACGGATGATACGGAATTAGAACAACATAATTTTTTATTTATTGAAAATAATAATAATATTTTTTATTAAATTCTGAGTTTTCTTCCAAATCAGAAGAACTTGAATCACTATCAAATTGTTATTGATATGCAAACTTGTCACGCATATAACTCTCGTTATCTGCATCTAAAGTTGGACCCGGTCTATTTGTTTGAATCACTAATCCTGATGGTGTTGCACAATCATCGTGTACAGAACCCTCTTCAACTGTATTGGTCGCACCTTGACCCGGGCCTATTTGTATTAGTTGTCAAACCCTTTTCTTTTACTGCACAGATACTATTTTTTATCTTTTCTACTTTCGTGAACACTTTCTTCTTATTCCTCCCGTTCTTTTTCTTTTTTCCATGAATCATTTACGCTTTTGTTATTATTTTTCTGAGGAGGAAGGAAGGAGGAAATACTGCATCAACAATATTGATGCAGTATTTATCAGTTTGGTCACAAAATTGTGAAATATCTGGATATAAACATACGATATCTTCAACTAATCAGTTATTTGCTGCTTAAGATACCCACATTTGTAACTGATATTGTTTTAAGCTTAACACAAAGACAATTGTACGCTTATAGCGCTATAAGTTAGGTAAAACAAGGAGTTTATTTTCAATTATGCAGAAGTCAGCTGTGTAAAGAAGAAAAAATCTAAAATATTCAGCATCTGAATAAATTAGTACCATTTCGTACACTATGCAGCTTAAAGAAAATATTTCGTCTAATATTCAGCGTTTTGCTGTTTAACTGCTTTGCTTAAATATGTTATACAAGACAATGCAAAAACTTCAGCTACTGTGCAGATAATAGCTGTTTCAATTACTTTTATTTGAATATCGCTTGTTTAACAGATTCTACTCTTGCTTACTATTCAGCTTGAAAAAATATCGCAAACTTTATACAGAATTAAGTAAGCTTACAACATTATTTTAATTTTAAAATTCTCTTATTCAAAATAAAGCCATAACGTCATCTGTAATGCAAAAGTAATAAAGCTTGACACTGCTTATTATGATATATTTTCGCTACTATCTGGCTTATGTGTTGGCTGGGATGTTATTATTATATGAGGTAAACACTACTGACTATTTGATAGTTATACTGTAATTAGAAAATTTAGAACATGTTTATGAAACGTGGAGTATGAGTCAAAAAGTAAATCAAGTAAATTGCTGTTGGAATTAAAAGTTTTAGAAAGTCTGACAACTGGCGAATTTAATCCCAATACTTTTTTTCTCAAAGAAGGGGCGTGATACAACTACGCGGAATTCTAGATGGGGCTCGAAATAGGAAATAACTGAGTAATTTAAAATTGTCTATATATCTCTCGTTAGTTTGTTAAAAATAGTATGTCCAAGAGATCGTTGCGAAGAATCCACCCTGAAGAATTGCAATCTAGAATTATACAATCTTAGCTATTTGGTTTTATACGTCGAGAAAGAGAGTTGCCAAAGGAAACGCTTGTAACGTAAAATGGTCCACACCATATTGCAATATTCCAAAATACTTCACACTAGACCAGGGGTGAGCAAATATTTTGATAGTCAGGCCACATTGCAGATGAAAATTTAACCTCGGGCCAAACAGTTTTTTTTTTCTAATTTTAAGCATAATTTTTGCCAAGGATTTTTTGTCACTTATATATATCAATAATAACTAATAAAATTGTGCGACTATTATGCCTTACTGTAATTGTACAT